GAAGTCACGACAAGAATAGCAAGAAGGTTTCGTTTTTTTTTAACCTGCCGAGAGGAGACCTCGGCCATGTCTCCAAGATCGTTGTTCGAACCTAAAGAACTCAATGGCCGAGCCCAGTGTCTCAGGTTGCTTCTCAGTTCACGTGGCCGATGGAGGTTATCTACGTTTGATGGCCACTGAGGCGGCCAAGAAATATAGATAACGCCCTTCGGCGCATAGAATTGTCGGTGAAAAGAATGTACAGGCACCTGACATTTATTATTTTCCTCGTTTAGAATTCTAAAAAAAAAAAAAAAAAAAAAAAAAAAAACAATCAAGGATAGATGGTCGAAGGTACTCACGAAGGCCGAGGTAACCTCCTGTGGAGGAATATGGAAGCCCTGGTCTTGAGGATGAACGGGCGAGTCCGCCGTTGCCTCAGGTTCCTCGAGCGGGCGTTTGCCCCGGTCGGCTGCAGATGGGCCGACTGGAACAGCCGTTTCGAATGAGGCAGGGACATCCTGGTCCTGAGAAGGAGCGAGGGGTTCGGCCACCGCCGTCGGTTCCTCGACTGGGCGCTTGCCACGATCATCCGTGGAGGGGCCGGATTGAGCCACCATCTCGGACCTTGGGAAAGGTTGCCGACGAGAGTGAGGACAGTCTGCCAGCGGGACCTCGTCGCTCCCCTCACTCTCTTCCAGAATGAAGACCGAGGGTTTTGGATTTTCAGGGGCTGTTCCCTCGGTCGTAGAAACCACCTTTTTTGGAGCGGATGCTTCCTCGACGGAGGGAGGCACAACTGGTGTACCAGTTCCAGAGATAGGCCGCGTTCGAACTGTCGCTGCGGCCGGGGCGGGCTGTTTTTCGACCGACGAGGGTTGAACAACGGCAGGAGGAGGGGAAACACTGGGAGTCGTCGCCCCTGTAGTTTGACTGGAGATTACGTGGATCTCCCGTGCGCCCTTCTTTGCCAGCTGTTTTACCCGCTTGGCAGGCGGCGGAGGTTCGATGACCGGATCGGCCTCTGGGCGAGGTCGTTTGGTCAGCACGGCCCGACCAGCAGCTTTACCCCTTTTAACCACGGCCGATTTTTTCTCGACCGTGGCCGCGGCAACAGCCTCCGCTTTTCTCGAAGGCCGACTACCTAAAAGGATAAAAACAATTCAGTGAGGCAAATCAATATGCAAGGTTGAAGAAAAAAAGGAGAAATAAAGCAACTACCTTGGGGTTGGGGGGCAGAAGACTTTTTAGGTCGACCACCAAAAAGTGTGTCCACAATGGTATCGACCAAGACCCCGAAAAACCGTTGGGTATAACTGTCCCACCAATCACCGAAGGTGTTGGTGCAAAGGGTCTCTGGAGTGGCCGGTCGAAGGCGAAATTTCTGGCACCGTTCCTGTAACTCCTTCTTGGCGTCGGCGCACTCCTTCTCTGAGGAGCCAGGTTCGCGTCCGCGACTTAGGACTGACCGAGAGGAGAGAAGGGGGACTGGGCTACCTTGGAGGTAGCCAAGCTGCCGAGCAAAGAAGTTGGGATGATATACTTCCCAACCCGCTCGTTTTCCATCGCAACCGAGGGGGAGGTCGCGAGCAAGCACGAATGACCCCCAGGACTGACGAAGGTCGGCGTCTTCATCTGCGCTCCACGCCGATATAGGTAGCCTGACCGAGGAAGGATATGCCCGACGACGACATATCAGGAACTCATCGTTGGAGAGATCGTCGAGGGCGAAAAAGAATTTAAATATTTCTTCGGCTCGGTGAGGGGGTATTGGTCGAGAGGCCAGCTGAGGTCCAAACGCCTATGTGGGTGAGAAATCGACGATTGCTGGCCGAAATGAGGCGAAATACACTTGGAGCCAGAGTAGAAAGACCTAGAGAGGACCATTCTGGTATGGGTCAATTTTGTGCAGGGTCGTCTCAGCCAGGCAACGGAAGAGGTGGGCCAAGATGTTGGGGCCAAGTGCCAGAACATGACCGCTAGCCAGGGCCTCGGCCACTGGCATATTCTCGACCAGGCATTTGTTCGATTTGGTACAACAAATGTACTTGTTGTACCAGTAGAAAAGGAAAGCTTCATGTTCCCCTTCCCGCAGGGCCTCTTCTCCTCGGCCAGCGAAATGGAGATAGAGGGTGTTGTAGTTGAAGAAGTTCTTGTGGAGTTTCTGAACGTCTTCTTTTGAGGGGATATGACCCTCACGACTCAACGTCTCAAAAGCTCGTCGGTCGAAAAGTGTCTTCAGGTCGAGATTCGACCGATATCCGGAGAGGGCAGCATCGATGGGGATTCCAGTTGCTGAAGTCCCCAAGATGGCAGTGACATCAAGAATGGTGGGGCCGATAGGACCAAGGGGGAGAACCATGGTGTTGGTGGCCGAACACCAGAAGCATAAGGCGGCTAGGAGAAGCTCCTTGTCGAGAACGATGTCCATAGATGAAAGAAGGATGGCGTCGTAAAGGCCGAGGACTTTCCATTGCTCGCCGAAGAGCTTCTCCATTCGGACGACCCAGGCTGCCCAGGTTGTAGTGGTCGAAAGCCAGGAGCCTTGGGGTTTCGCTGCCTCCCATCTTGACCATTCAAACCCTTGGAACAAGGGTGACAAGCAGTGTTCCTGAAGAAGTTCGGTGATAGTTGATGGTACGGTTGCTTTGAAGAGAGGGCCCAAGATTTGGTGGATGGTGCTCATGTCACTTTCAAACCGTATAGTCTTGATCGAGCTCCGATCAAGAATCTTCTGATGCTGGTCACATTCCTTGGAAAGCTTGGAGATGAAGGACGCCATTGTAAGAAGGAAGCACGGTGTAAAAGGGTTTTCTAGGTAGGGAGATTTGAAGACGAAGACTTGAAAAAGAAAGGTGCTGGAAAATAAGAGCGAGAGTTTTTCAGAAAGTTTTGGGAGCGTAAAGTGCGAATGAGAGATTTTCAGTATTTATAGGCTTTTGGCAGGAAGGGTAATCGTTTGAAATTCAAAACAAAGGGGCAAAATCGACCGAAAGAATCGTTGATCATGATGAACATTTGGGAAATGTAGTTGAGAAGACCGAAGGTTTCAGATGTTGGGGCGCACGATTGCGTGTGACGACGAAATTAATGGCGGAAGACGTTTCGACGCCTGCACGATGACAAGTGGGCTCACGAACTGAGATAGTGGTCATAATGTCGACGGTTCAGGCAGCCGCACGCCTTGGACGTCATCATTGGGGTTGGCCGTATTAAAGGACGCCACGTGGCAAGTTTGGTTAGCAGGATCAAGATCGTGCAATCGTGTTCAATAAATGCGCCTTGGAACTCGGGCATTAGGGTTCTGAGTGACAGATTCGCTTCTTCAAGGCCGAAACTCTGCCAAAGAATTCAGGCCGAGGACCTCAGAAGCGAGGGGGCAATGTTTGGGCCCAAAATAACAGTTTGGGCCGAGTGTAGGGTCATTCTCGGCCCGGGAGGCCTTGCGACAAGAATACCACAGATCGTTCAGTACGTGGGCCTCCAAACCTAGGTCGACTAGGTCATAACGCAAGAGGTCGAATCCTAGTGCAATAAGGAGTCTCGGCAGGACCCGGAAGCGAATCCGGCTCAGGTAAAGGACTAGGTTCACAGTCCTAGTGAAGGTAGTACTGGTCGAGTTGATGCTGATCAGGGAAAGAAAACCTAGTCCGAGTAGGTTTCTAACTCGACCTTGGGGGGAGCCATTGCTATAAATAGAAGAGGTTGCACATCATCCCAGGCCCCTGCAAATCAATACAAAAACTGCCCTGTGCAAACTCTCTCAACAACTTTGAGATTTTCTTTTTCCTTTTTCGCTGACACATCTTCCGTTGCCATCAACAGCACTGTGGAAGCAACCGGTGATATCTTAAGTCGGCATAGATAGCTCTGTCACCGTAGAATCAATCGGTCTCGCAGTATCTTCCGTTGGCATCAACAGCACTGCGGCGAGAACGGTTGATTACCTATCCAAGTCTCGGTCGAGAAGGGTCTCTGAACCCTTATTGGTCGAGGTCATCTCATTAGCCTTCTCGGCAAAGTGAGGTGTTACAGTTATTACATTCGGCACATTGAAAGCCGAATTTGATATTGAACTTCGTAAGAATAGTAACCTTATCTTCAGGTTCGAGAGCCCAAGAGGCCGAGACGTGTTCCTTTCTCGACCGCAATCGCAAGACGCAGAAGTCAGTAGCGCGACCTAACGCAACATCAACAAATTTACTCCTTGGCCGAGCTCGGCCGACGAGTTGGCACGCCCCGCAATCACCGAAGGACGTAGTTAGCTTATAGATTACTCGGCCTGCGCGCCACGTAGGCTTGGTAGTTTTTAGGGTCAACATACACAAAAATAGTAAAAACCTTTTCAATGAAAAGTATAAGCAAACCAGGAAAAGGGTTTCACTAAGAACCACTTGATTCGCTGCAAACCAAATTCAATCCCAATTTCCTTCACCAATTGTCTCCTCTAATCCCACCTAACTATTATCAACATAAGTTCGTATCCTATATGCCTTGAAATGCTAACTTACGATTCACACACCCGCAAATTGCAATTCAAAATTCAAAAATCGAAATACAAACATGAATCAGAAAACTACCAAACATAAATCCAAATCTTAGGAAGTTTAAATATTATAAATAAATAAATAAAGAAAAATCCATGATCTATAGACGGCCACCAACAAACATTCGTTCCTTTAAAAATACCCAAATTAATTTCAAATGAAATTTGGTGGGGGTCACTTCAAACGAAATATCTACAACCAACATTAATTCCACATCTTTTTTTACCTCCGTAGAAACCCTAACAACTGCCACAAATTGTGATGAAAAAGTTAAAGCATATGGTCAATAGTTTATTGCAGCAAGGCCATATGATTCAGCCTTAGAGAGGAAGAGAACCAACCTGAATAGGCATAAGCAGTTGCATGGAAAATATACAATATGCATAGAATATTTACAGCTCTTTCTTTTGACTGCTTAATGCTTACTACCATATGCAGGACCTGAAAGCTACAAATCAATTATACATATCTAAATATTTGGAAGAAATCCTTAAAATGGATTGATGTATAGTAGGACTCAAAGTGCAGACCACATATCTAAATATTTGGAAGAAATCCTTAAAAGACAGACATGAGCATTTCCTCTGCAAAGGCCTGCCTATTCGAATGAAAAATTCATAGATCAGAGAGAAATCTGATCTATGAACTTAACCCCAGTCAATATATGCCCTACTTTTACATACAACATTAATGCACTTAAAAACCACTGATAACATCTCTTGAATCTTTCATTGTGCTCACTGACTTATCAAACACAAAACCAATGAGAACAAAAAATTACATTGCATCCGAAGAGCAAGAGGGTCTGTACAACTTCCCAATGTCCATATCGGCATGCTTGCATCAATGCTGTCTTTAAACACAGAAATCAAACAACTTAATCAACATTCGCATCAAACACGAAACAACAATTCCGTTGAACATACCTAAAGGAAAATATCGTAGCAGCATTTCCCCATCTATTTTCGCTAAAATGAAATCTGTGGCCTCAACAAACTTAAGCATGAAATTAGTTCAATCCCCTCATGAGCTTCAATTTTTTCGATAAGAGGGTTTGATTTATGCGACAAAGCAAACCAATCACTAAACTTTCTAACCAGATCAATACCCAAGTGCCAAAATTCAATATATACTAAAACCCATTTTGCTTTAAAACACTGTTCATAAGCAACAGTGTTGTTCCGTAGCTCTTCATTTTTATTCTTCCCTACTATATTAATTAAGTGTAGGTTAATTTAGATTTGATAAAAGATATGCAACCTGCTATGGGAGCCATGTGGATCCCTGAACATTGCATGCATATGAAGATACCAAGATTCACGCTAGCCAATCGTGGAGCTCTGCACCAAAAAATGGAAACACTACAACAATTTAGAAGAAAAAAAATGTTTGACATATCTGTTTGAGGTTACCCACACATGCAGTATGAAAATATATAGGATGTTGTTTAAATTGAAAATAAGTTTATATATAACCCTTTAATTTACCTTTTTCTCCAATAAAGCCCTGATGTCTCTTCCCCTTCTTTGTAGAACGTCCTACACTGCAGATCGAATCCATATTCTTCCTGGAAAATCCAACCTCATTATTAAAAACCAGCAGAGTAGCCGGAGCTCCACTCCCAGTTATGTCCTTCTTTGTCATCACAAATTCCAGTGTTGGTTCAACCCCTTCTTCGTATTCATTGACTTCCGCATTCTGCAAATCAAAAACCCACAATTAAAATCCACTAAAAGTACAAAACGACAATTTGTTTTCAAGTTCCATTGATGCTAGTATCGAAAAAAATTGAAACTTTTTCACATTTTTTTAGAGACAACAAAAGACCCATAAATTGTTTTGATTTTCGAATAAAAATCAACGAAGAAATAAACCCGGCAAATAAAATTACACAAAAAGAGAAACCCACAAATTATTTCGAGTTTCATTGACGTGGGTAAGGAAAAGATTGAAACTTTTTCACTAATTTTTGGAAAAACACAGCAAAAATTTTAATACCTGTATGAGCTTAATGAGAAAATGGTATGTCTTTCTGGTACAACTCGGTAGATAGGCTGGTGACTGCATGGTGAAGATCAAGAGTTAAAGAGAAGTCGAAATCAGGGAAGAATATGAGTTTTACCCGATGACTCGAGTCGGGAAGGAAGACAGTGGGAGTCGGGAAGGAAGACACACAAAGAGAATATGAAGAAAGAAGTAGTTTTGTAAGATGCTGAGAAGAAAAACAGGGAAGAATAGAGCTTGTGGTTTCTGTGAGAGAGAGCTCATTGTTTCTGGAAGCAAAAGGGAAAAAGGTCGGCTTTCCCGTCCTTCTTCTTCTTTCAAGATTACGAACACGTGTACATCACCAGCACGTGTAAATCAGGAGTAGCGCCAGATAAAGGCACCAACTGAGATTTTGGCAGAAATGAAATAAAACAAACTAAGCAAGGGCAAAATCGGAACTACACTGTTCTTATGAACATTAATTCAGTTGTTTTTGGGTTTTAGTATAGATTGAATTTCAACATTAACTAAGCTTTCTCCTGCAGACATGTATGTGGTACAGCAATTTGGTTGGGAGGAATATGAGTTCACTCTCAATGAAAACATCAATTGTTGGAACCAGATTCACGCACCGCCATGAAGGGTTGAGATGCACAAACGCGTTTACCTGTAAAACAACAAATAACCAAGTAATCTAAGGACCAGTGGTGTGCCGACCAAAGGCTCTCCAACAATTAAGTTAAGCTACAATTGAGACTCAAGAAATAGACAAGAGAATAAATGTACGATGATTGGTTACCAAAGATGAACCCTCCAGTCGAGAAAGAGTCATTTTAGGATATATGAGCCATATTAAACCATGAGAATCCCAGAATAATATTTACGAGTAGAAATTAAGTGAAATTCCATGACAGAATTTCACTATTTAAAATACCGTATTTCGTATGATGTAGTGTTACGACATGTTTATATATTTTGTGTAGATTATTTTTTTTTTTTAACTTTTTAAAGGATGAAAATGCCCATGTTGGCCTACGTAAAGTTTTACATTGACGTATTAAATCTTTTATGTTTCGCTATATTTCTAGGCACATTTGGATAGTACATGTCGATACAAACATATGGGTGCAAACAAAACGTAATTTGGAGTTAAAACGAAAATTCTACAAAACTTGGAACTCCGATAGTATTTTGGTAACTTGACAATTATTTGGAACACATGTGGCCTTAATTTGTGAGCCACATGAGGCCCACTTCTAGAAAATCTAGAACTCTCTCTTTTTCCTTTTCTTTCTCATGCCTCTTATCTCTCTGATATCACTCTCGAACTCTCTCTTCTTCCCCATGAAAACCATACAACACAACCTCTAAAACTTGTCGAATCGATCACCAAACAAACATCACAACAACCCTGACGAGACTTTTCCGACGAGATTCAAGCCATCTCTTACCATCTTGTCAAATTCCAGTAGACATGAGAATATTCTATTCTTCTCTAGCTTCATTTTGGTATTTGGATCGTCGGATTTGGTTGAAAAATGAAGAAGATATGATGATTTAAAATTTTTCCAATTTTCCAACAAGCATTCCCCAGATTCTGGGGATTGACAGTTGATGCGTAAAATAAGTTAACACACAAAATTAAACCCTCTTTTTGACAATTGTAGTATAGATGTAAGTAGGGTATCGTTCTAGGCCGGGGATTAGGAGGGATTGCTAATCTATCCTAAATTAATTTAAAAATATTAAACAAGACTCAAGGATACAAAACTAGGCTAAAAACTCTAATAACTCGAAACACACTTAAAATGACTCAAAATAATGAAAACAATTAAATTAAACACTAGGAACTGAAATGGATGGAAATTAAATTAAAAGACTAACAATAAAGAAAACTAAATAAATAATATAATTTAATAATGGATGGGTGTTTGGTTTTGATGAAAAGTAAATTAAACTTAATTAAATTACAGAATTGACAAAAACATGAAATTAAGGTGAAATGATAAATGACGGACTAGCTAGAGGGTTCTTCTCCACACATGTTATACTTGCATACAAAATGATTTCCAGTTGTTCATTTAATAAATTGTGAATCTCAATACTCTAGATTAACCGTGAACAGCACTTTTTTAATCTTCAAGTTTTCCTTAAGTTATTGAATTGGACGGAAAAACGCATACAACAATTCAAAACATTCTTCAAAAGTCCCCTACGTGAAAAGCACAATAGCGATACAATCAAAGATCATTAAACTTTGTGAAAACTATAAGCATTGACGAGGCATTCGTAACTATGAAAAGCATGATACTCTTGCCAAGAATTTACTTAACGTGATTGTGACTAGCAACCTTTACTACTTGTGAAAATAAGTTCATAACGATTAGGTGAAATTCACTTATATTCTAGCATCAAATTCATGCATGTAAATTAAGCGTGCACTCTCAACCAACATACACAAATCAGTTTTTATACGAACGGATAAGTAAATTGAAATCACAACTTATGAAATCACAACCGAAGGTAATCAATTCATATTACAAATATATTCATGGTTTCGAATTAACCTCTAGCCAAAATAAAATTAATTACACATTATTAAAACAAAAATAAAATAGAAGTTTGGAAAGATTAAACCGAAAGAGGAGGATGCTTCAGTCTGTCCGTGCGCTGCCATTTTCTGCCCTCGGTGCTGCCAAGAGCAGCGCACCCTTCTTTCGGTTTTGCTCCAGCTGCAAGGGCAGCCTTCTTCCCCAGCTGCGCTGGCAGCTCCCTCAAATCAAGTCTGCCCTCCCCTCACCTCTCTCCTCTCCTCTGACTCCCCTTATTTCTTCCTGTTTTCACGCTGCCCCAAAAGGGCAGCCTCTTCGACCGTTTTTTCCCCCTCCTTCTGAAGTCTGCTCTATCCTTTTTCTTTCCACGCCCTGACCTCCTGTCAGCGCCCCCTCTCCCTCCTTTCCAGCTCCAAGACCACCCACTGTCTAACTCCTTTCTTTTATTCTATTATTTTCCCTTCTTTTCCTTTTCCTTTCTTTTCTTTTCTTTCTTTTTCTTTTCTTCTTTGCCGTTCCTTTCTTCTTCTACAAAACATGAATCATGATGATGTTTCAAACATCATCATGACTTGTTATTATTATTATATATATATATATTTTTTTAATTTTATTTAAAAGCTGATCTACAAAGACAGTTTTGACGAATTTATTACATAAAATTTCACTTGTTCTATTTTTATTTTCTTTGCATAACAAATCCTATAAACACAAAAATAACGTAAATAGCTCAAAAATATAAGGAACTAACTAAGAAAAGACGAGTGAATTCGAAGTAAAAATATATATAAATATGATCCGATCAAATACCCCCACACTTAACTTTTGCTAGTCCTCGAGCAAAACAAAGAAAACTAGAACAAGAAGAAACAAGAAAAACATTAGCTTCCCCCTATGTGACCCTCATAGAATTTCATTTAAGAAAACAAATCATCAAGAACTATAGCTAGCATCAAGGAACTAATCCAAGTTCATCTTCCTAATTCAAATATTAGCAGTAATCTTTGAATCATCCTTGAAGTGTAGTGTGTGAGATAGCCATGCTAATGCAATTTCAAGTTTTTATTTTTAAAATCATCATATGCAAACTAGCGACCTTCTCACTGGATATGCACTCAATCACACATGTGTTTAGTTTTAATGTGTTTCGCTCAAAGAAACAAATGTGAAATTTCTACCATAAGCTTGCATAAAGATCACTTCTCCACAGTCATAATTGCAAAACTTAAATCAAGAGGACTTTTATTGGATGTAATGAGGCTTAGGGATAGGGTTATTGAAATGAAAGAATAGGAAACACAAGTTCCAAGCTATATTGCAAGCAATTCTTTTGTTTAGATTTATAAGAACTCAATTTTTCCAGCGATTCTTCTAGCACCTCCAACCATACCCTTAAACTGAAACTTTTAAAAAAAACTTTTTATTTTCTTTTTATTTTCTTCCTTTTTTTTTCTTCGTATACAATCTTTCTTTTTCTTTTCTCTCTTTTTTTTTTTTTTTTTTTTTTTTTAATACAAACATGAAATACCCCCACACTTAATCTTTTGCTAAACATCTTCACAGTACTTCACAAACGTTTCTCATAAAACAATCTCACATTGCTCACTAGCTTGCTTGGAAAGGGTAAGGAAAAATGTTTCAGGTATAAGGGTAGACATATCTGGTGATAAGAAATAAAAGGCTCAACATACATGGCTCAAATTGGCAATCTAATGATATCATTTTTCTTTGGGAAACATGGTTATTTGGGCCATAGTGGTAAACCTAATGCCTCTATCATTTCCAAGTTCATGCAATCAATGACAAACATTTCGAAAGATCGTTACGCAAGTTCTAGAGATGTATCTCACAAAAGTTCATCACACATGAAAGAATAGGAGTGTATGAAAAATGCACACACTTTCAATAGGCTCAAAAACTCACATAGGATGTATATGGTCACTAAATTCACATATAAAGCTTTAAGTCATGCTTTAGTTTCACATCAACAAGGCTATGTGCATTTGGTTTTTTTCAAAGATGGTCAAACATGTACAAAACTAACAAGAGAATTAGGAATTTCACAAAACACATGTTAACTAAGTTCTTGATGATCATGGTTCAAATTTGATCCAATTATATCATTGGGTAGGGAAACTAACAAAAAATCTAATTCAAAACAATAAGGGAAACAAGACAATATTTTTGGATTTTTTAAATTTTCCGAATTTTTAATTTTTTTTAATTTTTAATTTTTTTTTTAATTTTTTTTTTTTTAAAAAAAAAAACAAAACTAATTAAGAACACAAAAAACAACAACACAGAGACAAATGAAATTCTAGAGATTTCTACCCCCACACTTAAACTTGACATTGTCCCCAATGTCAGAAAACACTATAATGCAAATAAAAAATAAAAAATAAAATAAATAATAAGAAACAAAATAAAACAAGTGGACTGAAAACTTCCCTAATTTGCAGTAAAATCAAGCGATGACCCCCAAGCTAAAATTCTGCAATCAACTTCAAGGGTGGAAAGAACCAAAAGTTCCTGCAAAGAAAAGAAATAATTCAGTTAAGTACGCAAGAAAATTAATTAAAAAAAAAAAAAAAAAAAAAAAAAAAATTGCAAACGAAAAATTGAAAATTACGATAAAAGATAATGAATAAAACTAATAAGTAATCATTGGTCGTGCTTGTTGACTTTCCACAGCTTTCCTCTTGAACAGGGTGACACTTAGCTTTTCACTTGCAAGTGATGATTTTATGCT